CCAAGTTCTAGCATCGTGGACATTGGGCTTAACATATGAGACGCACCCAAATTCAATCACAAATCGTTCCTCGCAACGGTTACTCTAACAATGAGTTTTCCAATAAACAAATTTCGCTCCCAGGGCAATAAATTCACGGTGGAATCAACTGGCGATGCCTGTTAACTTAACAGAAAAACCCCGCTATCCCATGTTAGGATCCTGTTTCGCAATAGGTAACTTACAACGTTTAATATTTTTTAATACTATTAATATTTTTTAATATTATTTCAATATTATCCGCGATTAATGAAGGCCGAGGGATTATAATTAGGCGACCTCCATTTCTATCGTTCAAATCCCACAATCTATCGTCTCTTGAATTAAAAAAATTTTGTCCTACAAACTTTCTACACTGAACACAGCTGCGCATGCGCGCGTTGCCATATTTTTTTTATCCGGTCGGCTATGATACGCGACGGTGTCACCTAACCTACAATGTGCTCGCGCACATTATCAGCTTTCAATCGTACCTCGAATTGTTGAAGTACAAGTCTAATCGCGAGACAGAAGTCTTTTTCCACGATGTATCTTCTGCCGACGAGAGTTTTACTCTCGACCGAATAAGCCGACGGCGATCGCCAGATGATCGGGGACCTCCCTCGTTTGCTCCGCGCGCTCTTCTGTGCTTGCCGAAGGCAGACGTCATGATTAACACGAGCGTAAGTCAACTCGTGAACCAAGTGGACAAGAGCGACTTTACACTGTACGCAGAATGGGAGGACACGTGTATTAAAATAATAGTACTGAGGCCGTGCACGGTGCCTTTAAGTGGCGAGGTATACAACTGACAATTATTTACAGTGTGCATATATGTAGTATGACAAAATTTAAAGCTCCCCGAATTTAGAAACATTCTGCCTTTTATACAAGCAAATCGAAACGCTTAAAATATTTGTCGACAGTTGCACTATTGTGCAATGTATAATATACGATTTGTTGACTTGCACGAGTTTTTTTAAACGTATTTATTGATTACAGAATAGAATGTTTCTAGACGCGGAGAGTACATTGTAGATTGGGTTTAAGAGATGCGAGTAATCTCACGTCCAGAGCACGGTATCTTTTTTTTCAAAAGATATCTCTGCATCATTTCCCTGCAAAAATAATTCGGTGCATCTTGTGTTCACATCTAAATCGAAGGAATTCGAGAAATGTACCTTGTATCCGTGTCTCTTCACTGAAAATTCATCTTATATCTGTATTCTTTCACCTTGGTGAAAGAAAGTCAACATATCAAGCTCTGACTGCCAGTGGCAATCAGAGTTTGGTATCTTTTTTTTTTTAAAGGTTCCAATACAGACACAGTTACTATCTGTATCTTTCTCCAGAAAAATAATTCAGTTCGTCTTGCATCTGTATCTAAATCGAAGAAATTCATACACTGATGGTTGTCTTAATATTTTAGATGTATATAGAGAACGCCAACTACTTTCTAAACCACTTGGACGAATCCTTCGAGACGTATCTAGAGAAGACGAAACATGCATTCTCTGGTAAAAACTCCGACATACAATTCTTTCTACAGGACGACACATTAACGTGGAAACAGCAAAATATTCTCACTCGCGGAAAAATCGCAGTACACTCTCTTTCGAACATATTAATTCTTTCCGACACTTTGAAGCAGTCGTTAGAGCTTTACCAAGAATGCCAAGAGCGAGCACTGGCGCTGGGAAACGAAAATGAACACCTGAACAAAACCAATACAAAGCTGATCGCGGATCTAGAAGAGATGACAAGGATAAAGACCGCTATGGAGAAAGATATTTATATGAAATTTCTTTTACTTCTGAATACAAAGAAGAAAAGGATTAAAGAGCTTCAGCAAGCTTTAAACGATACCAAAAAGACGACCAAATCGGCGTTTGATGAGACCACTGATGATGAAAGCGACGGGTCAGATGTGGAGAGTAACAAAGTGCATGGTAAACGTGCTAAAACAAGAACAGATGAGATGGATTACGAGGACGAACAGAAAATTGTACCAAAGAGTAGCAAGAAAAATCTTAAGAGACGGATGACTTTTTCTTCTAGTGAAGATACAAGCCCTGAACCCTCAACAAGCAAAAGCAATGTAACATTACGAAACATGGACATAGATGATACAATGAAACCCAAGCAAATTCTGCACAGCTCAGAAGAATCCGAAGAGGACATTTTTGCCTAGTAGCAAAAGTAATATATCGCACTCTTCCTTCTATTTAAAAGAGCTACGTTATACAATTTTTTAACGTTATTGCTTATCGAATTATTCTTTTACAAAAAATTTACATGTTAAATAGAAAATTTACTAGTGCACATAATCAATTATATACATAGATACATTACATATTTAAATGAAATATTCTAGTCTGATATTTTAATAGAATATATATATCAGAAAAAATTTATTATATTAAAATTGATAATATATTAAAATAAAATTTAATTGTATTCTTGAAATAGAATAGCAATTATTGTTATTATGTATTATAATTCTGTATGTTGTACTTATTACTGTTTAATATAATGAATTATCTATTTTTACATACTGACGAAAGTATTTTATAGAATATAACGGAGTGCAAAATGTTGAGTATGTTTAATAAAAGTATTTTGACGAAAAGAGAATTATGAAATCAACCAGTGTTTTGTAAATTCTTCGATACTTAATACGACTATATTAAAATGATTATATGCGATAATAAATTGCTTTACATTTGTAAGTTGTCCCGGTTATTGATAACAGATTAAATTTGAGGATCCGGAAAGAGACGGGGGATCGTAAAAATCGCACGATTTCGTAGAGGTAATTAAGAAAAGTAACAACTATTCGATCAAAGATTGCCTATGCGTTAATGTTATCCACAATATTTTACATAAAATATATATTACAATGTTATCATTAATAAATAACGAATAATGATAATAATATTTAACGTTTCACTCTAATGATCAATATGCAAATGCCGAGATTTACATAATTAAGTACATCACGTTCCAGAGTAGAAATTCAAAATGTGCAATAAAAGCATCAAGCGAATTTGATAAACGTATCACTCGACGATTTCATTACAGATATCAATCTCGTCAGATTCATCTACGATAATTGACTTATAATTAGTACATATTTTTGGGTAGTTAAAGTGCATGTTCTCTATATGACTGGGAATACTTATAATTGCTTGAAACAGATGAACGATGTACAAAGTACAGCGCGCGAATGTGTAACGTGAATATTCAGGTTTGCTCATCTAAAAGTGGTTTCAGGATATTAGTAGGTGAATTTAAAATACGATACAACCGAGTACAATACTCTAGCGCTGCTTAATTGCTTGCAATTATCGTCGAAAATATACATCTTGAACGGATCTCTTCTAACATATAATACATAAATTATCATTAAGAACTGTAGACTAGAATATGGCCGAATGTGTGAGCTCTTACAACTATGTAATTAAACTAAAGGACGCAAAACTCGAATAAAGATTACACAACTGTTGAGTTAACAAAACAACTTGTGTGCCATAATATCTGAAATTATCAGTACAACATTAAATCGTAATTGCGCAACCAAGTAAAAACTTCGAAGGATTCAGTAACAATACCAGTAGCGCTATTAAAAAAAATCACAAAACAATGATGATTCGGAATGTTGAAATGCATTGCTCGGTGCCGCAAGCGAATAGATTAAGAATATAGGACAGCGTCTTTCATACGTGGCGTCTCGTTATCCTTTCCTGACGTGGAAGAGCCAAGGTTGGATCAAAGGTTGGTCTGAACACAGGTTTGAAAGGTAGCAGAAGTACGTTTTGATTGTATGGGTCACTTAGAAACATCCAACTCGCAACAGGTCCTCTGGGAAGTTTCCTCTCGCGTTTTACCCTTTCAAACTCGCATTCAGACCGATGTTACTCAGCCGGGCATCTTCCGATTTATCACGGCGCCCAGATCCGGCACGATCTGCCTCTGCTCGCGATTGAACAACAAAGTTCTCGCGTTCAAAAACGACAGGTCCGGCAACTGATTTAGAACTTTCACGGTCTCGACTTGCACGCCCATCGGTCGCCCGTATCGGTCCATGACCACGTGTTCCGCACACTCTTGCGTATTTTCTTTCTTACCTACCGACGTCTTTCTGTGATACTCGTGTACTCTGGAGGTATTATTGCTTATCGGAAACGACTTATTGTTGGCCAGAGGGACACTTCTCAGTGCTCGATGCGACGCATTACTTTTCGGTTTAATTCCGAAGTCTTGCTCTGCCTTCTTTTTCCACTCCACTGTGCAGGGTCCTGGCAATGGTTCTATTATTTTGGATGTCTGAGACAACTTTTGTTTTTGCGGATTGTTAGCAAAGTCGGACAAATTTTGCGATTTCATGTATTGACTGACTGGTTCCTGCACAACTGCTTCTGATGGATCTGTATCAGTGATACAAATTAATAATTAATCAAAATAAACTAGTAGAATTATAGGGCTATAGTATAGTTGAAAAAATACTACGATTTAAAACCATGCAGATAAGTGGGGACTACTTGATTTCTAGTATACGCTTAGAAAGGATATTTCTATTTGAAACAAATTATGAATATACGTATACACATGTATACAAAGACAGAGACATCGCAGCTTGAGCACTTACAGTAATAAACGGAGTTCGTTGAGCAAGATGACTGATGATAGGATTCGGAATGTGTGGAGCAATGAGGTGTTAGTAGAGGGTCAAACGGACACAACAAATCCAGAGGCAGAAGAGCGGACAACCCACCACCACCACCTGTATCGTTATTTTCGCGACATTAAAGCCTGATCTGAAATGTGCTCTTTGCGTCTAGACACACATTCCACTTTACACAAGCAAATTAAAACGCTTAAGAAAATTTGTCGACACTGTACGATTGTACAATATATAATGTACAACTTATCAACTTGCACAAATTTTTTAAACATATTTATTGGCTACAAAATAGAATGTTTCCAGATGCAAAGAGCACATTGCAGATCAGACTTTAGGATAGAGTTCAACACACTTAGTCTATATGTTATAAGACAACACCAGTACTAGTTTTACATACAGAATACTTATTTGGAAAATATTCTCTTTCTCTATCTCGTTAGATATAATGATATGCATTTAGCAAAACATGAGACAAGTAGCAATGCTTTTTTTTTCAATCAGTGTAATGTGTCTTAATCGCAAGCCAAACACGTACGATAAATACTTACTAGCATCTAGAGGATTTACAAGGCCAGAACTATTCCAATCAAACTGTGCAGCAGGTACTTCCTAATACGATTATTACAATTATTGATTAATACGTATATTACTTGTACATACAGAAATAAAGTCTCAACTTACATCTGAACAAACTACGCCTTGTGCCTTGCTGATACTGGTTGCAGAAGACTGCTGAAGCTCAGCAGTAGCTTTAATTGGCTCTAACGGAGTAAAGCCGAGATTTGCAGCAAATCTTGGAATATTCGGGTTCCATCTCGGTCCGAATAGCTGTAATTTCGCATGACATTGTTACTTTCTTTTCACAAGTAAAATATCTTAATGAGTAAATTGCGTGCTTACAATGTTCCGAGAATCGATGCCAAGAGCATTCAAAAGAACATTGTTACTACTACTATTCGCCCATTGGTAGGTGAGGGCGTTGGTTTCTTCCACGCTCTTCACATTCTGCCAGACTTTATCCGTCTTATCTATTAAGGCTTTCAACTCGACTTCGTGACATTCAGAAACCACGGAAAACATGTTTGTTATTATATCTTCTATTTTATTCGCGGCCTGAAATTATTTTCATTAAATACACGTAAAATATAAAATCAAATTGTATTATTTATATCATAACGCAAGACTAAAAAATCTAAATCAAAGCAATACACCTCGTTACTCTAATAAACTACCAGTAATCTTGTATTACACAATAAACATTCCTAAACTCACGTTCTTGTTTTCTATCCGACATATAGACTCTTTTAAACTAAACTGCTGTGTCTCTACTACGTCCGTAGATGTTTCGAAATTGCTAAAGTCTCCGAAATCATCGTCGTCCTCAGGTACCTTCTGTTCTTTCGCGTCGTCAGGTTTCCATTCTACCGTTGCGCTCGAAAAATTAGTAAAATCACCAAAATCATCATCCTCGTTGTCCGCACTCTCGAATCCAGGACAATCGCTCTCTTGTGCTTTGGTTGCCGTCGACTCGTCTGACCGTAAATGAAAATCATAAAATTCACCTTCGCTAAAATATACTACAGAACTTTTGCTCTCGTACGTGGCACATTCTTCGCCCGCGGTACTCGTAATATTAACTTTATCCTTTAAGCAGTCGAGGGGTGTACTAGAAGATGGCAGTGAAGATCCTCTTATTGGTGAAAGCTTTTGTATACAAGACGCGTCGGGTGAAGATGTATGTAAATCGTGAGTTTGTACTGTCTCGTATGTACTATTACTGGATATTGAATTGTAGTTATTTGTCAACTCTGATACATCGTCAAAATCTCTGTGCTCCATAAATTCTGTAAAATCGGAGTTATCCTCGTCGTGCGCGTCAAAACCATTTTCCGGAATGTACTGTCTGCGCATTTCCTCACTACTCGACTCGTTTCCCTCGTGAGCAGACATCTCCTCGCTCGCCCCATTCACATCTACTTTTTGAACAGTTTGATTTTTCGTTTCTACGGCTACGTATTCGCTTTCTTTTGATTGTACGGTATTTTTTACATCAGTTATATCGCAGAAATTATTAGGAAAAGTACTCGCGTTGCCTCTTTTGCTAGAGCTACGAAGGTGGATGTCCTCGTTATGCGTACGTACGGATGTATCATCTAGATTTGATTCCTCTCTCACAGCGTCGTCGTCGAAAGCGAAATCAAAACCGAAAGAATCGTTTGCAGTTTTACCAGACTTCTCGTTGTTCGTGTCGGCGTTAGACACTACATTGTACATCTCTATGTACTTTGGTTGAATACTGAATTCACAATCCGATTGTTCGAAAACGTCCGTACCGCCTACATTGTGTTCTTGCGAGGTAACAAAACTGGAAATTGTCCTTTCGTCGTGAACGAAGGCGGACTTAGCGTTCGTATCGGCGCAGTTCTCGTTCTCGCCGTACGGCGCGTAAGTCTCTCCACCTTCATCCGTTACGTTGCATTTAGTGTCCACGGAATTAGGCTTATCGTTCAAGTAATCCGTCTGCAAAACCGTCACAGTTACATCGATCTTCTCGTCGCAAACAGCGTCGTTCCAATCATCGGTATCTTTAAACTGCTCGTAATTGTAAAAATCGTCGTCCAATTGTTGCAGAATGTCCGGCGTGCTCGTGGGATCATCCAGGTCCAGGCTCACGGGCTCGATCTCGTCATGCGCCTCCAAACCGGACGACCCCTCCTGCTCGCTGACCGTCTTTACGCTATCGGCTAAGCTACTATTGTTGCTACTAATTACATCCGTATCAACAAAATTTTCCTTAGCTAAAACATTCTGAGTACAAACGTGATCAACGCTATTACTAGTCTCAACATTACGCGACTCGCCATTCCTAGGTGAATCTAATACACTGTGTTCTGTTATACTAGCTTCTTCGAAATTATCTTCCAATACATTACTATTATCCGTTCTAGTCTTCAATCTTATGCGGCTCACATTGTTCTCCGCCTTCTCGACGATCAACAGATCGTCGATAACGCCACGTTTCGAGGCTTCGTTTATCTTAGGGCGACTATCCAATACTGGTGACTCGTTAATACCGTTTATTCTAGGAGATGCAGTCTGCGATGTCAGTGGAGTTTGTATCGGAGTAATAAGTTTTTGCGGAGACTCTGATGAAACAGACAGACCTGTAATGACAATTGCGCGACAAATTAAAAGGCGAGCAGGGCTTGACGTTGTGCTGCACGCAACGGTTGTTAACTTGTTACAAGTACCATCTATTCCACCAGTCGTAAAGTCTCCAAATTCGTCTTCGTCGGACTCTCCGAAGTTGTCCAAGGGTGGCGGCGTGGAGCTGACTAAGGGTGGGAAAGCCATGGTTCTCCCCTGTTTCAACACCAACAACGCGTTTAATACACGAGTAATATTTCTCTTCGCCAGCGATCAAACAACAGACAAGTAGAGGAAAGTCCTCTATTACGAGATGGGCTTCTGATGCGGAGATAGTAGGTCTTCAACATCAAAATTTAATCACAAATCTTTAGTCACAATGATTACACGATCCAACAATGAATTTTCCACTCCGAACAGATTTCACTCCAGGGGCAATAAATTCACGAATGGAACCAACAGACGACGCCTATTAATTTAGAAAAAAGCCCTATCTCATATTAGGAACTTATCTCGTAATAGGGGACTCATCTAATATCACTCGCGTTTTATCTCTCATCGACGAAATCAAGGGGGGGAATGTAAAACGGCGCGAGTGCCTCGCCGCGTCAATCTAACGCGCGAGGACGATCCACCCGGAATCGCTTGGCCGCGCGCACGGGCTTTGTTTACAACTACGCCGTCTCCTTCCTCCCCACGCGCCCGTTACATATGTCAAACGCGGTTAAGGTTAAGTTGCGCTCTCGGACACGGACTCGCGGAGGGTATCCGTGGCCCAAGGAGACGGCGGAGGTTCCAAGGCGAGGCTGTCGCTCGCTGGAATATCACGGCGGCGGCGACGGCGACGGCGACGGCGACGACGTTGCCTCTACTCTCGCCCTCGCGCCACCCCATACCACCACATACCAGCGCAATCCGCTCCGTGGGATCTCGGGATGCCCGTCGGCGCGATTCTATCTTGGCACTGTCATCTCGGCGATCGTCGCGGCGTGCGTGCCGCGGCGTGTGCGGGCGCGACGGGCCTCGGTAATTATCACAGCCAGGTATCGGGTCGACCAGCAGCAGATCGTCCGTGCGTGACGATTGGATGCACGATGACGGCGGTCATGAGACATCGCAGGTATGTAACATCACCTGTTCCAGGGCGCGCGGGGCGCGTGCGCAGCGCGACGGCGCCCCGCGCGCGCCACCGTGCGGTTAGCGCACTCGCGGCCGTGTTCAAAATCGCTCCATGCTCGGGTACATAGAAAATAAAATGCAATGTAAAATAAGCGAGCAGAGAAATAATTTGGAGCAATGCACTTTCGGAAAGGAGCTACGCTTTAACGCCCGGCGGTACAAACTTATTTAATGATACGCTTTATATGTGTAATTTATTATTTGGAAAGTCCTCTATTATGCTATTTGCTAAATTAATAAGAATAATAAGCATCATCTATTGGTTTCATCGTGAATTCATTGCCCTTGAAGTGAAATCTGTTTAGTGGAAAATTCATTGTTAGATCGTGTAATCAAGTCGCGATCAAATTTTGATGTTGAAAACCTGCTATCTCATAATAGAGGACTTTCCTTTCTTTTTTTATAACATTAGGTATATATGCAATAATAACATGTGTTATAATCAGAGCCGGGACTAGGGTGTGGCGAACAAGGCACTTATAAGCCTCGTGTAAAAGATTTAATGTAGGGGTGCAAAAACGACAATACAAATTTTTATAATGTATATCATAAAGGAAATATTTTGTTACTAAGGGGCGCACTTTTTTCTTTGGCCTCGGGCGCAAAAATGGTCTAGTCCCGGCTCTGATTATAATGTACATACATATTATATATTATTATTCATGTTCCTTATATAATAATTTAATATCGCAGTCTTCATTTTGTTATTTATTGAGAGAGTTAATAACCAAGTTAATAATCAATTATAGTAATTCAACGTAAATATACCGCCACGTATACATATATCGGTTACCTATCAGTATAATGATTAAAGCGCAGCTGTAAAAACGAAAGAATAATTATAATTATATATTAAATTAAATGAATAATAAATTCCACGTCTGGTACGCAGCAACTCTTATTACGATTTCTCCTGTTCGAAAGCGTGCTTGGTGCGCCTGTGTTTCCTCATGTCTCCCTTTTGTCTGAAGGATCTGCCGCATACGTCGCACGAGTGCGGCTTTTCGCCAGTGTGTATCTTGATGTGATTGTTCAGGGCCTCGGTTCTGGTGAAGGCCTTCTCGCAGTAATGGCACTTGTACCTGCGATCGCCGCGGTGTATCAATCGGTGCTGGTAAAACACGGAGCCGGTGAGGAAAGCCTTGTTGCACACGTCGCACTTGAACGGTCTCTCCCTCGTGTGCTTCTTCCTAACGTGGTCCGCCAGGTCCGGCTTTATCGTGAAACGCTGGTCGCAATATTCGCAGGCGTAGGGCTTGATGCCCATGTGGAATCTCCTGTGAGTCCACATGTGACTGGACTGCGTGTAACTCTTGCCGCAAATGTTACAGACGTACGGCCTCAGCCCGTTGTGCCGCCTCTTGTGTGCGTTCAACGAGTTTGCCGTAGGCAGCAGACTGCCACAAATGTCGCAGGGGTACTTTGAGCACTGATCCCGCCCGTGATCCCGTATGTCCTCGCTTTTGTCGAACACGCTCCCACAGAGCTCGCAAATAAACTTGGCCTCGCCCGACTCGGACAATCTGGATACGCGGTCGTGCCTGTTCTGCTTGTGCTTGTGCAGCAGGGATAATTCCTTCATGTCTTTGTTACAGATATCGCATAGAAAGACGACGAGAACTTTAAACAGCCTGGGATGTTCCTTCCAATGTAAAACAGCTTCTGCGTACGACTTGTAAGTGACCATGCATGTGTTACACGTGTAGGGTCTTTCGACAACATGACGTTTCTGATGAGTCTTCAGGTTGTCCGCGTTGGTGAAGTGGCTGTTGCAAAACTCGCAATGATACAGCTTCGACGTCGACAGCTCCTCAATCAGCGTGACCTTGTCCTCGTGTATTATCTTGTAATGAATATCCGCGTCGTCGCAGGAGGTGAACACCTCACCACACTGAATGCATCTCCAGACCGTCTGGCTGTTCTCGATGACTATGCAATGGCTCGCGACATGTTTGTTCAATCTCGATTTCTGCGTAAAGCTCTTGGAGCACTCCGAGCACTTGTACGGCTTCTCGGGCAGGTGCGTCACTATGTGACGCTTCAAGGTGTAGCCGTCGAAAAAGCCTTTACTGCAAACCTCGCAGATATGAGGCCGATTCTTACCGTCGACGCAAACGTGCACTCGAAGCGCCTCCTGATCCTCGAATAACTTTCCGCACTGCAGGCACGAGATACTAATCTCCTTACAATGTTGTCTCTTATAATGGTAGAATAGTTTTAGCTCTTTACTGAACGTTATCTTGCAAGCTTCGCAGTATAGTGCTTTCACGCCTTTATGAAATTGCATGTGGAAATTCAGTCGTTCTTCAAACGTAAATGTCTTGTCACACATGAGACACTTGTATGGTTTCGTGGTGTTCTGCACGCTGGGCTTACATTTATGACTGTCTAGCGTCTCCTCGGTGTGATAAAGATTCATGCACGCTCCGCATTTCAAATACGTTTGTCTATTTCCTAGGCATTGCAATGTGATAGAACAATTACCATTTTCCTCATTGACCTCCGCGTTATTAAACATGTTCTCCTCGTCACTGCTTTCTAAAATGATATCATCATCCTCATACAATTTCATATCCTTCGTATTTTTCACTGTCTCTCTACACATACTCATGAAGCCCTTTATGCATAAAGGACAGGATTGTCGGTTAGAAAATAAACGATCGGATTTGTTAAAAGATTGCTTCTCATTTAACATCGTTGACAGGATTTCCTCTGCTTTAATGCATTGCGTGTCAAATTTGTCGCACCAGTTCACTTTCTCAACGCAGGTCAAACATAACTGTTTCGGTAGTGGATCTGTCTTCTTAATCTACAATGAATCACGCTATGTATTACATATACTTATGAAGATTAATATATGTACATACAAAAATGTTACATATTTGCAAGAATGATAGTTATATACGTTAACAAAGTAGTTTTAACAAAATATTTTACTTTAATGCTTAGGCATGTATTAATTTTATGCGCCAATTTCATTGATTCTCCAAGTTCAGAATAGATATATATTGGGTTAGTGGTTTGACCAGCACACAATCGACAAAAAGCAAATAAGTTGTTCTCTCTTTCATCTTGTGCTGGTAATTCCAATATCTCATTAGGAGAAAGTGGCTCTTCTTGGGACCATATAATAGAACCATCCAGATTATCAATATCATCTTCGTGATCATTTAATGTACTAATTGACTCTGCTTGGAACATGTTACTGCTGTAAGTTAAGTTCACGTAAACGATTAATTACACTTTTATACATTTAACCATCACGTTTAGATTTTACCAAAAGTAAAAGATACTAACATAAAATATGAAATACATATAACTGTTATTTATCTATAAATTACAGTGGATATTTTATAATTTTTACAATTTTTATTTACGATAAAATCTAAATATGATTGTAATGCATATGGATCATACCAAATTTATTTTGCACACTGCAAAAAATGACTTGAAATGTTGCAAATATTACCTTTTTTCTTTGAAAAGAACACAAAGATTCAAATATTCTTTCGTGGCAAACTCACTGTTCTTGATATAGTGAATTTTCTCCCTACCATGATTCAGTCTTCATTAAAGACAAAAAGATGTTAGCTAACTAGGAATAACTGACAGCTACTTCTGAAACAAATGAATCTATTTCTTTTCTGATTATATTTTGTCTTCAAATTAATACACAGAAGATAAAACAGATATAGAGGTTATACATATACGATTAAATATTAGAATATATAAATAACAAATATTACAGAAACAATATTTTTTATTTAATTCATATTATGTGTTAAAAAAGGAATCTGGAATTTTCAGAAATATTTATTCACTGAATTCAATAAAAATGTATTCACCGAATTAAATAAAAAATATTTAATACAGATCGAAAAACTAATCTTGTTAAAAATAAAGACGCGATTATAATTTTCATTGTAATAGTAATTTGGATTTATTTTATTGTATTTTTATACATAACTTTATAACTTCGTACATTGGAGATTCAATTTTGTATAAAAAATATCAATATATTTTGTATGCACCTAAATATATTAATATTTCAAAGATATTAATATTTCAAACATATTTCCAAAAATATTACAATTATTTTTATATATATTTTAAGATTATGAGTATGGCCGGTATTCATAGTCAGATCTTATATTCAAGACAGTCTTAAGATCATCTCTAGATACTCCGCAACCAATCAATGTTCCATACAGCATCTTTAGATAAATTCAAGACGGTCTTGAATATAAGATCCGACTATGAATACCGGCCTAAGACGGTCGTGAATATCACGAGACACGGTAGTATTCAAGTATAAGAGTAGCTAAAATGGCACGCGTAAGATCTAACTATGAATACCGGCCTATGCTTGTACTATCAGTTTATCCCTACGATAAAGTTATAAATGCACGTATAAAGAATCATATTATTTAATGTGGTGTTATAATATATTGTAATTCATTTTTAATTCTGCGTTCTCGTAAACGTTTGCAATGGCGTAATGCAGTCAGCAGGTTCAATTTGGTCTTATCAATCTTTGTGTTTGTTTGCCTGTAAAAATCCTCAGCTGTGAAAAAGTAGAGGTACCCTGGAAATTATTTTAATACAAGATATATGTGAGTAACGCCATACCATATTGAAAATCAGTTTTTGTTCTATTACTGCGTATACAATACTTATTATGATTATATGTATACTGTTACAGTTATGTATAAACATATTTAATACAAATCGTTAACTTACCATCTTCTGTTCGGGTATCGAATTCTTGGTTCTTATAATGTAAATATAGGTTCATTTCACCCTTTTTTTGAGCGGCAGCCTTTCCCAGCGATAAAATCGTATATTTCGCAATTAGCGTCTGATTTATAGCACTTATAAAGGTATTAAATGTATCAATTGTTTGCCTCCCTCTCATATACTTAGGTAGATAGTTGAATTCTTCTGTCATGATAAATGGTATTGTTGGACATATCTCTGGTTCGTTAAAAAGTATTCTTTTACAATCCGTCGTCATTTCTGACTTTGCAAGTACTTTGGCGTTTTTTGCGCTATTAGGTACTTGTGCTTTCATTGGATTTACAGAACATTTTAACATATTAGGATAGACGGTTGCATTCTGGAAGCCTTGTATGAGTTCGTGTGGAACATTCTTTTCTTGATGGAGAATTTTTTTATTTAAATCTCCAAGTAACTTTAATAGTTCCTTCAAGTAAAACATTCGAATTATATATTATTAACCTTCTAACATTATTATTATTTAAAAACATTCTAATTTATTTCCAATTCTTGAATAAAAATGAATTCTCAGGAATAATTTGACACTTACAATAGAACGCTTATTCTGTAGACTTATTGTCTTCACTGTGTTTTTTATACCAATGATGCTACTTGAAAGTTTTAAAACTTCCGCTTGCACTCTCTGAAGTTCTTCCTTTACATTTTGCTTGCCTGTAAAACGTAAAATACGACTCTCCTTCATTAATCATTGTCAGTCAGCTGAGAAAATATTTTATCGAATTGTCCACAGTAAATTTCCTTGATAGATTTTGTAATATGTTAAGACATTAATTAAAGCGATGTTGGTTGGTAAAAAACGATAGAAGAAATGTAACACAACTTATTGTTTATAAAATGAAATCAAATTGCCAAAAACTGTACAACAAGATTTACAGGCGTAATCTACATACATAGCAGATAGACGGTAAAAGAGTATGCAAAAGTTTCAAGTCTCTTTTTTTCAGCGTTCTGGCATTTTTCTGATATTATTTTCAAATCGAATAATTTCCTTCCTCTTCGTACACTTTTAAGATTGACATTGAACTATCTGAAATACCAATATTTTACAATTTCATGGAGCACATAACTTACAAAATAGCAGCCTAAACAGCATGCATGTCTAAAAGACGACTTAAAGATGTGTTAGAGATGTCTTTTAGACATGCGTGTTTCGTGAGAGTGAACTTGACGAACGACTGAAAGCTTTATATTCGACGTTGCATTCAGCAAACCATCCTTAACTTGGACTGGAAGGTTCTGCCATATGCAATGTACTCACCCGACCTGGCGGCCCTGGCGCCTTCGTTTTCTCATTTGTTCCGATCGATGTAACGTACTTTAGCCTGACAGCGCTTTCGAGACGTGCAAAAATAATGGCTCGACGATTCCATTGCCTCCAAATTAAGGACTTGTTTTTCGCAACGGAATCCCTCCTTTACTTTGTTGTAATATTACCGGATATTATAGTGAGAAATATAAAATAATTGTGTTTCGAAGCCACGTGCTGTGTTACTTTGTATTCGCTTATATTTAAATTTCAGGTCCATTTCCTTGAGTCACGAGTCACGGCGTCGCGAGCTGTGACTCGTGGCTGCCTAATACGCCTCTACAATGAGATCTTGCCATAAAGGCAGAAAGTTACAGATACTGAGAGGACATTTTTTTAAATACTACTTAATTTGTAGTACTTGTTACATGTAAATAAAAGACCATTGAAGTACACTTTTGCATACCCCGAACAAATACTGAATAAAACTTGTTGCTCCATAGCTTCATCATTAAATATGCCTTTTTAAATACCTCTAAATACATGTATTACTTAAAAAGGTATGTCGAATAAGCTATGCAAGTAAATTTTACTCGATATTTACTGTCAATATTCTTGTTCGATTTTTGCCATCTATTCACTGTTCATGTGTTTTTGAACCAACAAATCTTGAGTGGTTTTTGGTATCAATACATTTTACAGAAGTAAGTTTCGCAAGGAAAATACAAGCCTAATGAGGACAGACGGCTCCGGTTTCATTATACTAATCAGCTAATTGAACTTGCTGACAATTCGCAACTGTATTGTTATGATTCTATTTAACTAAGGTATGAAAGGTAAGATCTTATAAAAGTACAACAATAATGTACCTTTTATTAATACTGTGGCAACGTTGAGTTCCTCAAGTTTCGTGATTTGCCCATCAATTACCTCTTCCAAATTATCGTCTTCATACTTTTTCGCGAAATCCATTTTCATCACTCATAGTTTGCTACAGGGGTTACATCAGAAAAGTAATGCATCATGCTTCGTGTATGAAGGCGTTATTTTAAGAGTACAACTCCAGTTTTTGTGAAATTGGAGTTAACCAATTAACTTCCGGGGTTACACAAGGGTATTCTTTTAATTTGAAAACTAGTGCACCTTTAACTTTTTCCACGGTCAGCACAGAAATCCTAAATTGTCTTACTTTAACTTGAAGAGCCAATATTTCGAAATTAATAAAAACGGAATTGTACCACACAACGCTTTCATATGATGAAATTTGTACTTTATATATATATAAAATATAATATAAAAAAGTTGTGTATATTTTACCGCATATACATGTAATCGTATATATATGGTATCCTAACCAAATTGACAGGAATACTGTTTCCTGTACAGAAATGTTAGCCTGAAAAAAACAATTACTATATTGCAACGTACCGCTTTTTCCCTCTTTTACTTTGTCGGAATATTATTACCGAATATTATATTGAGAAATGTAAAATAATTGTTCCTTGAAATGCCTGGAAATACCACGTGCACTGTCACCCACACACCTTACATTCACTTATGTTTAAATTTCACGTCCGTTCCTTTAGGCCCGGTTTCACCAATGCGAGTGAGGGCCGCTTCATCCAACTCCGGTTAAATTAATCGATGAAAGGTTTGCCAACATGACAAATACTTACCAGAGAGAAGCCTGCGGCTGGATTCACATGGAGCGTAACTTGCGTAGCGTAACCTGCGTATCACCAATCACAGGGTCATTCTGATAGAACCGTTTCAATAATTCCGTTGAACTAGTCCTGTGATTGGTGATACGCAGGTTACGCTACGCAAGTTACGCTCCATGTGAATCCAGCCTTGAGAGATGTCACGGGCCCGTTTTTCGTGATTGGCGAATGCGATACGCCCTCTGTGGACATAGAAAACGTGGACCTTGAACTACGTAGCCAATGTCCAC